CTTCAACTAAAAAAAAAAAAAAAAAAGAAAACACCCTCCCCAAAACAAATTGGGATAACAATAAAGCAAAACAAAATAAACAACAACAAAAAATTCCCAGGAAACCAAACACTCACACACACACACACACACACACACACACACACACACACACACACCATAAAATGAATGGAGAAGAAAAAAAATGGGAAAAAAAATAGAAATTCATATTGAACACTTACACATATACTCACACACACATTAAACTAAAAAGAGCAAAACCAAATCAAGAACAGCAACAAAAACCTATAAGATGAACACTCAATTATTCACATACACACATAAACCAGAAAACAAAAAAAGAAAGACAAAAAAGGGGGGGGAATGCAGATCAAACCCTCACATACATATTAATGCACAAAGGAAGAATATAAAACAAATTAGTGCTAACAAACAGGCAAACAATTTTTAAAAAATTAAAAATTAAACAAAAAATTTTTAAACTACCCTCTTGTGGCAGGTTTCATAATTGTTCCTCTCAGCTGCCCATCTGCTGTCTCTTGCAGAGGTTGGCCTGATTCACTTTCTTCCCAGTATCCAGACCAGAGAAGGAGGAGAGGGCAGTTGAGGAGTAGACGTGGCTGCAGTCCTCCCCTTTCACTACTGTGTGGTCAGGGAAATTCCCTCCAGTGGGAAGATTTGGGATTGTCTCTTCCCCAGGTACTGGTGGGGGATGCTTCAGCCAGGCCTATTCTGGAGTAGAGTCCTCCTATTGTGACTGACGTCCAGGCTCTGCCTAGGTTCGTCCCTCTCAGTCGTGCTCCAGCCATGTTGGTCTGATGTTCAGAGGATTGCTGGGGAGGAGGAGATTGGGTCCACCCTGGACTCACCCTTGATCTCTTTGGAGGTCTTCCTCATCCTTTTCTGGCCACACCCTTTGTCCTGCAGCTGAATCAGGGTAGGGAGTGGGATGCCTGAGACTTAGCACTCATCCTGTCCCTTCAGAGTTTGTGCTTTCAGGATGTTCCCTCTGGATTACAATCAACCCCTGAGTAATTGAAATGTTGGTCAAGGAGATCAGGTCTGTTGCTCCGTGGTGAGCAAGTCAGAGCACTTTCCCGCCCCATTTTCAAGAGGGTGGCAGAGTGCCTCTTTCATCTTCTCCAGTGGGGCTCTACCTGTGGGCTCACTCTGCAGTCCTTGCTGCCAGTGTCTGGCCAGGCACTGCAGTGGTGAGGCAGAGCTTGGAGCTGGCAGTCTCTCCTGCTGCAGTGGTGAAGCAGAGCCTGGAACTGGTAGTCTCTCCCCACAGCTTCTTCCCAGGAAAACTTTTGTCACTTAAAAAAATGGCACTTAACTTCTGCATCCTGGGAAATGCTAGGGTCCAAGCTGAGCAGCTGCAGCACCAGCCACTTCACTAAGAGAGCCCTGGTCACTTGCTGGTGAGTGCCCATTTAGTCAGTCTCTCCTGGAAGCTTCTTCTTAGGAATGGTTTTGTTAATTAAAAAGAAAAGAAGAAAAAAAAATGGCACTCAACTTCTGCATTCCGGGAAGTGCTAGGATCCAAGCTGAGCAGCTGCAGCACCAGCTTCTTCACCAGGAGAGTCTTGGCCACTAGCTCCCGAGTCCTCACTCAGTCGGCCACTCACATGCCCACTTACTTACCAACACATACACAGAATTTTCCGTACCCTCACTTACTCACACTGGGACTTGCATATTCTGACAGACTCGGTTGCCATCTTCCTCTCTGCCCCCTAACAATTGTTAATAAATAACCCAATGGAAAAGAAGGAAAATATATTAAAATGTAATTCCCAAAGAAGACATACAAATGACCAATGAATATGTGAAAAGACATTAAACTGTATTTTAAATTCAAATTAAAAGGCTGCAACTTCTCAACCTTTAGAATGTAAAAATTGAAGAAAAATTGTTTTATAGCAATCCTTGATGGCAGGGATATGGATGAACAGATACAATCATAACTTAATAACTCTATAAATTGGTCCCAAAGTTTTAGAAATTAAGATGTGTGTATGTGTTCTTGTGTATCTCAAAACTTATATTTGCATTTCCTTTAATCTGATAAAGCTACTCATAGGAAGTAATCCTAGGGGAAAAATTGCATAAAATTGAAAGAACAACTCTCTAAGGATTTTCATTACAACATTTTAAAAATTATTGCAAAACAGTTGGAAACAACCCAAGTTGCATCAGTGTAGATTTGATTAAATACATTATGGTTTATATGATTAATGATGTACTGTGTTGCCATTAAAACAGATAAAGCAGAATTTTAGTCTTTGTTATGTAAAAGCTTAAACTATATATTACATAAGAAAAACAAAAAGCAGATAGCAGAATAGTATGGTTCTACTGATATGAAATGTACAAATCATATATCTATAAAATCTCTGAGGAATAAACACAAAATTCTTAATAGACGTTAACTTCAAATAATAAGATTTTTGGTGTAGTGAAGGAACACTTGGATTTTTATTTCCTACTTGACAAAATTATATTGTCTGACTGTTTTCAGGTATAACATTTCTGGATAGCTTAAAAAATACATGTATTTACATTTGGGAGCACAAAGAGAGAAACCCCAAAGGGAAATACAACTTCCTTACTTGTTAAAAACCCCTAGGCCTTGGAGGAGAGGTAGAATACAGGAAAGAGATGAATGTTCAGAAGGAAGCAATGCCAAGGCCTGGGATCTGTGGGGTCATAGACAAGATTCATTCAGGCAGTGTCAAATGTTCATGGGGTAGATGGAATGGTGGAAATGCATGGTAATGATCTCAAAATGTTTTCTGATGTGTTAGACCTGGGAAAAGGTACATTCAGACTATTATAATCAGAGGCCATAAATGTGAAGAACTGTAGAGAGATGATCTTGTCCCAGTACTAACCACGATAGTATAGGCAGACATAAGCCCAACCATGGTAAGCAACTTTCTAAGATCGCAGTGCAATGGGTGAGTGAGAATGCTGTGATTATGACCTATACCCATGACTTTTATTCACAAGAATTTTGCCCTTTGAGGGAAACTCAAGCTCCTTAACCTTGAAGTGTCTGGACACCCAAGGCTTATCAGGAAAGAGACATACTTTTCTCTTCCCACTCTCCCACCATACCCTTTCCCTCACTTCCATCCTTCCTTCTCACCCTTTTTGCTAACCATCTTGTCTCATCTTCCCCTATATCCTCACATTTCATCTTCATTACTCTACTCTAATCCTTTCTTTTTCTTTTTCTTTTTTTAAGTTAGAGTCTCACTCCATCGCCCAGACTGGAGTGCAGTGGCTGCTCCCAGCCACCGCAGCCTTGACCTGCTGGGCTCCGGCGATCCTTCCGCCTCAGCCTTCTGAGTAACCAGAACTACAGACACGCGCTACCACACCCCGCTGATTTTTTGATTTATTGTAGAGATTAGGTCTCGCCAATTTGCCCAGGTGGGTCTCGAACCTGCCGGCTCAGGCAATCCACTCACCTCAGCCTCCCAAAGTGCTGGGATTACAGGCTGAGCCACCAAGTCCACTTCTAATCCTTTCTTACCTCTCACTCTCATATCTTTTCTTTGCATACTCATCTCAACCCATCTTTCCAGTTCCTTGTCCCCAAGATGAAAGATACCACAGAGAAGCTCAACTCCAGGTGCAACCATGGGATAGTTTTAGGAATGATACAGCAGAGGGACAGCAGAATTGCCAGGACAAGATAAGTGAGCCTTCTCAGGGAGGCTGGAGAGAATCAGGAATGTATGGGCAGAAGCCTGGATAAACATTAAGATGAGGAAATGCTCTGTGTTGGAGCTGTACTGATGCACTAATAGTAAGAAAGAGACATAAGTCCCAGAGACTTACCTTTATGAATATGTATTTTCTGAACTAGGAGGTTTGGGAGAGAAAAGTAATACTTTGGAGGAGAAAGTTATATTAGGTATTCTACATGGAAAATTCTAAGGACCTGGTTTGAGTATAAATGCCTGCTCATTCAAAAGCTTTATCAAATGTGTAAGGAAGGTGATATATCAAATAAGAGAGAAAGATATGGCAGGGGGTTGAGATAAAACATTCCTTTTTTTTTTGCCTCATGATATATCATGTATACATTAATGTACTTTTTATCTAGTGAGCTCTTTCCTTCTCTAGACCCTACTTATCCCCAAAATCTCCGATGGGATTCTTGTGTGGTAGTAAAGAGAAATAACTGATTTTGTTGGAGGTGAAAGGTAGAATGAAATTTTTCTTGGCACTGGGCCTATGGTTTAAAATGCCTTTCTACACTTTGATCTGGAGGAATCTCGTGTCTCCACCAGAAGGTGTGTGTGGGGGAACTTTGTAATAATATTCCTAGTTACTTAGACTGGAATTAACCAAATGGACCTTCCCTAGGACACATTGCTACCCAAGCATACATGGCAACAAGTCTTCAACTCTACCCAGAAAGTGGGCACAGCTAAAAACAAGGTAGCAACTTTCTCAGCAGGCTTGCTTGGCAGAACCTAACTTCTTATCTTCCTATCTTATTTGTTTTATTTTTCTATATAACTTATCACCTTGTAATATACTATATATGATGCCTATTTGTTTCCTTTGTCTACCTTAATAGCATGTAAATTGCTTGACTTTGTCTATTTTGTTCACCAGTGTCCTAGAAGACAGTCTAGATCATACAAGTAAGTCAATAAATATTTGTCGGATGAATAAAATGAATGAGTTATATAGAGTTTCCTTGTAGGACAAATACATATTACCACTCTTCAGGCATCCAGAGATATTAAAAAATGGCTATAAACCCTTTACTGTCTTTATGAGAAAATTTCCTCAGTCCAGAAAAGGCAAGAAAGGAGGGACCCTGTCATCTCTCAGGTCAGTGACCGCTTCCCCAAAAGTACCTGGCACAGGGCACCCTGAACATCAGAGTTCCTGAGGCTATATATAAGTGGGTTCAGCATAGGGTTAATAACAGTCATGAAAATCCCAACCCCTTTGTCCTTGTCTGAAGACTCCATTGAGCCCAGCCTCATGTAGCTAAAGACACCTGTCCCATAAAAGATGCCCACCACAGTGAGATGGGAACCACATGTGGAGAAGGCTTTCTTTCTGCCCTCTGCAGAGCGAATTTGTAGCACAGCAGCTACCACATGGGCATAGGACACAGTGATGAGAACCAAGGGGGCCACAGCCATAAAGCCTGCTGCTACAAAGAGCAGCAGTTCATTGAGTTGGGTGCTGGAGCAGGAGAGCTGGAAGAGCTGTGGGAGGTCACAATAGAAGTGATTGATCACACTGGGGCCACAGAAGTTGAGTGTAGATATGGCCATAGTGTGGGTCAGTGCATTGGTGAAGGCACAAGTCCAAGACACAAACACCAACATCTTCTGGACTGTCTGGCTCATGCGGGTGCTGTAGGTGAGGGGCTGGCAGATGGCCAGGAATCGGTCATAAGCCATAGCAGTCAGCAGGAAGCAGTCCATCCCAGCCAGAAGGTGGAAGAAGAATAGCTGTGTAAGACAGGCATAATAGGAGATTGTACATTTGTGGGTCAGAAGACAACCCAACATTGCAGGAACAGTGACAGTGATACATCCAACATCCAGTGCTGACAGGTTCCCCAGGAAGAAATACATAGGGGTGTGGAGTTTGGGCTCTGCAAAGACAGCTGCCAGGATGCTGAGGTTGCCCCCAACTGTGACCAGGTAGGCAAAGAGGAAGAGTACAAAGACCACAGAGTGTATCTTTTCCGTTTGCACTAGGCCCAGTAGAATGAACTCAGCAACAGCTGTCCTGTTGGTCCCAGCTTCTGGCTCCATGAGTTCCTGTAAGGAAATGTCCCAACAGCGGAAGTTTCAGTCCACTTACTCACTTATTCAACATAAACATTTTAAATAATTCATATTCAAAGTCCCATGGTGAATTCCCAGTGTCTAGGAGAATATTTTCACATCCCTATCCCATATCTCACTCATTGAACTCCTCCATCACCTCAGTACTCTGCTCCTGACTGAGATGCCCAAAGTCACCACCATCTCTTTCTTCTCACTGTCTCCTAGTTGAAAGGGTCAGAATACTTGGGAAAATAAATTAAGATAAAAGATCTATTGCACAGCATGAGTAATATAGTTAATAAAGTATATAGTATGTAGGATTTTTGCTAAATGAGTAGATTATAGCTGCTCTTGCCATATACATGCATATGTGCATATATAAATATCATGTTACATATAGTATATATAAAAAACATCATGTTGTGTACCTTAAGTAAACACAATAAAATTTTTAACAAGACAGAACACTTCCTATTTGAATATAATAAAATATAGATGGAGTTTATCTTTGAGGGATCAAATACAAACTAGTAAGGGAGGGATCAGTCCAAACTAGCAAACAGATTTCAAAATAGAAATTCAGAGAAACTAGAAAGCATTTAAAAACATAATCTAGGTTTCAGGGCTTTTAGAAATAATGAAGATCAAGCAAAGGTATGGCAAGAATCACAAAGAAATACCAATGACTGCATGTCAAAAAGATGAAATTCGTTTCTCCAAAGTAAGGGGTCACAACCTGAAGTAAAATTCCAAAATCCCTTGCTCAATAAATTGCTAGTGTTATTGCTGCTACTTAAACCCTTACATTGGAATTCAAATAGTAGCTTAATTTAAAATTACTTATTCTGTTTATATTGTCCACTAATCCACTCTAAAATTAAAGTTGTAAGCATGGCCTGTGGGTTGACAGTTTCTAAGTGCAGTTAGAATTCTACATTGCACAGTCATCAATCTTCTTCTTGTCCTTGATTCAGGCATAATAAATTGACCAGTGGCTCTAAAGCTATGCCCTGAAGTGAAACAGGCATGTATTTGGAAAGCTATATGGATTTAAGTCTTTCAGATTTTATGTCAAGCTAAAAAAAAATCATTGCCTTTATTGCCCATAGAATAGGTAGGGATAGAGCCCCATTAAGAATAATGTATTTCACTTGCATAGAACAGACTGGAATCAAAGAATGGGAAGCAGTTGGAGTCTGATATCTTTAAGAGAAGGGGAAAAGAAATGACTGCTGGAGCTGGGGCAGTGAAATTCAGGGGCTAGAGTGGCTAAAGAGACCCCATAAATTAGAGATACTGTAGCAGTATAAATGATATGACTGTCTGGGGATGTGGTCAAAAAAGCTTTTAAATCCCTTGTTAATAAAAATGGGAATGGTTTGAATCTGAGAAGCAGAGGAGGCAGGGCTAAACAGGAAATTACCCAGGCAAGATGACTGTGTAGTGTTTAGGTGAGAATGTAAAAGCAGTTCCTCAGCTGCCTGTCAGCATTGACTATAGAGAAGTCAAAGCATGGTAAAAACAACCATGAATCAAGACATGCACCTTTTCCCAACAAAAACCTTATACAAAATACTAGCTCATTAATCTTTCAATTTATTTAGGCTATCTAGTCAAAGATACTAAAGAAAAAAGGGGAGGGGGATGACGGAAATCAGGAAAAACAAATGCTAGATTATAAACCCTCAGAAGAAAAATGGTGCCATGGAGCAGCTGAATAATGTGAAAAACAAACAAACAAACAAAAAAACAGGCATGAACTTAATACATGTAATAAAACATTTGCCTCTATATGACAAGAACACAAGGCAGACATACAAGACCTCAGAAAGAGTTTCAAGATAGCACATGGAGATAAAATGTGATATAACAAGACTCAGGCAAAAAAGTGGAATTGAAACAATTAGACAAAAGAAAACTTTTCAGAAATAACTGAAGACTGGACTCTAGGGATTGAAAAAGCACAACATGTGCCAGAAGACACAGATATGGAGGTTCCATGCCGAGATATTTCTAGTAAATTTAATTGAAGTTAAAAAACAATGACTTGTTTGTGTACATTGGCAGAAAAGATAAAGTCACTTGCAATGGAACAAGAAGAAGCTTATTTTATATTTCACTATAGAAACATTCAGGGGTAGAAGAAAATAGAGCAGCACCTAAAAAGTCTTCAGGGAAAGAAAGTATGATCAGATAATTTTTCATCAAGATAAACTGTTGCTCAAGTATACAAGCAACAGTGTAACATTTCTGGATACTCAAAAACTCAAGAATAGTTTTTCTGAGATCAATAGGGTAAACTTTTAGAGACTAATTTTAGCTAACAAAGGGAAAAAAGAAACATACAAGAAAAGAACTGGTGATAAGCCTTAAATATTCTTTACTGTACCATATATGGACATTGTGGCTTCAGAATAGAGTATAAATGTTATGAACCATGAAACAGTAGAAACAACATGTCTAATAAAACTGGGAGAAGAGAAGAAAGAACAGCTGAGGTAGTGTAGGTATGCTGATTTCCTTAGTTATAGCTGTAAGTCAAAATATATGTTTGTGGTAATAAACAAAAAAGATTGAAATTGAAATGATTAGCTCTTGGAGTCAGAATAAGAAAACAATTGAAACTTAGAAATTCAAAGGAAATACTTAGTAATAAATTAGAAAACAGACAAACAAAAAAATACTGTAAATGGAGAACAGGTTCTTTGGGCTAAAATAAAATTGATAAACCTTTAACTAAGTGACCTAATGATGAATAAAAAAATAAGAAAGTATAAATATGCAAAGTAACAAGTGACAAGAAAAAAATAATCATAGCTCCTCAGAAAATTTAAAATTGTAGTAGAGAGTAGAATGGTGGTCACCAGAGGACAGAAAGGGTAGAGGGGAATGGCAATGAAGAGAAGTTGATTTATGGGTACAAAAATACAGCTAAATAAAAGAAGAAAGTTCTAGTATTTGATAGTACAGTAGGGAGATTATAGCTAACAATAATCTATTGCATATTTTAAAATAGGTAGAAGAGTGAAATGGAAGTGTTCCCAACACAAATAAAAGATAAATGTTTGAAGTGAAGTGATGGATAACTCAATTATTCTAATTTGATCATTACACAGCATATACATAATTTTGACATATCATATGTGCTCCCCTTATATATATACAACTATTATATATCAATAAAATTATAAAATTCTGTTTTTATGATCTCTAAGTAATGAGAGGTTATATGATTCTATCCACAGATGTTAAAAAGGCTTCATTATATTAAATATTCTTTTTTATTTTTGAAACCTTATAATAAAATAGAAATAGTTAGATACTTACTTAACATGTTAAAATAAAACTAACTCAACTCCAGGCAACATCATGTTTAATGGAAAAACATTAAAAGCATTCTTATTAAAGTCAAGAATGAGACAAGTATATTCATTATCAAAGATTATTTAGCATTATCCTGGAAGCTCTAGCCAATGCAAGAAATTGAATTAAAAGATCATATGTTAGAACACACACACACACACACACACACGCACATATTTGGAAATAATAAAATAGTTTACATAGCAAATGACCTGGAAAACTTAAAAATATAGAAGTACAAGAAAATTTCAAGATAGAAAGTAAACAAAACAATGAACACACAATAATACGTAGTTTTCTTGCATAAACTGTAATAAACTAGAAAAATAATTTTTAAAAGTTCATGTCAACAAAAACAACTTAAGAAAATAAGCAAAGATATGGCTTAGATATTAAATAAGTAAAAGGAATGGCAAAACTATATATTTAAAATTTGATCTCACTGTGATACACACACAATAAATAGAAGGAAATACAAAGATATTACAGTGGTTTCAAAGAGTGATAGGACTACAGTAGGTTTCGACATTTTTCATCAGAGATTTTTAAACATATATCTGTATTTTTTATAATGATTATTAATATACATTTTAAACTATTCTCACCCTCTCCATGACTATGACTTGAAAATTTCAAAGTTCCTTGTCTTGCAAGCTGCAGTAGCTCCTGTCCATAGAAGAGGCTTGGGTGACTTTGTCCCAGGCATCTGATGTAGTCAGCAGCCACCCCCTGCAATTTTACTTTCTGTCAACCAAACTCCATTTCCTGTGATCAGCTATTTCCTGGCTTACCAGCAAGTGCCTTTCCTCTGATAACATGAAATGATTTTGGCCTTTTCTCCAGTCACCAAGAATGTGTCCTAGTGATATTTGATCCCATTGTTGCCCCAAATGTCAAAGAATAATCATGTAAGTTTTGTGATTCCTAAAATCCTGAAGTCATTTCTCAAATTTCACACAACCTTCCTCCCTTGTGTTATTCTTTCATTCCAAAGACTGTAGGAAATAAACTTGCCATTCATTCCTCCTTAGTGCTCTATCAAAATGTTTAGCAGTGAGTCTCAACCTTGGCTGCACATTAAAGTTATTTGGGATCTTTAAAAAGTTCTTATACCCAGATCAGACTCCAGGACCAATTAAATCAGAATCTCTGAAGGCATCTGGATTTTTTAAAGCACTCCCTGCCCCGATCACTGCTGTCTCAGAATTTCACTGTAACTAACATTTCCAACTATGACATCTTTCTTGCTGCTTCCTCAAACTTAAGATGTAGTCCTTTCTCATTGTAGTTTTACTAATAATCCTGAAGAAGAGTCAATAGTTTAAAAGAAGACACTAAGAAAAGTTACAGAGCCAGGCTTGGTGGCTCAGCCTGTAATCCCGCGCCTTTGGGAGGCTGAGACGAGTGAATTGCCTGAGCCCGCGGGTTCGAGACCCACCTGGGCAACGAGACATCATCTCTACAATAAATAAAAAAATCAGCCGGGCGTGGTAGCGCATGCCTGTAATTCCAGCTACTTGGAAGGCTGAGGTGGAAGGATCGCTGGAGCCCAGCAGGTCGAGGCTGCGGTGGCTGGGAGCGGCCATTGCACTCCAGTCTGGGTGACAGAGTGAGACTCCAACTCAAAAAAAAAAAAAAAAAGAAAAAAGAAAAGTTACAGAAATTTATGATA